TGGATGCGGGTTGCTGCTCGGTGTTATTACATTGATTGATATTGGGACACGATGCACAGGCAACAAATTTGGTTTCTGGTCCGAGTAAGGGAAGCTTCCCCGCAAAAAGGTAAAAAAAAAGAGGCAAGGGCAAAAAGGATCTAGTTAGAAACGGGATTCGTAGGATCATGGTGATGAAACTTCGAATCTCTGGTGGTATGCGGGCTTGTTAGTAGTTAATGTTAATAATGCATCTGACTGGAGCGATGGATGACAAGAACAGACCATTCCTGGGGTAATGGCCTCTGAGGAGCTGGAACTGCCGGGTCGGGACCAGGCCTGCATTGGCAGGAGGAAAGGATGTTGGAGATGATGGATGCGTGAGATGCACTTCTGTCCTTCCCAACATGGGAGTTGCCCGTCCGGCCGGACCTCGGCCAGGGTGTCGTTCATTGATCATCCAAGACAAACACTTACATACACTTGTACTCGGACTCGGACTCGAGGATCGAGTCTATCTAAACACTATCAGATAATATACTACCCATACGAAGTCAAACTCTGAAGCATACTATGCTTGATGGGCGGACTCTTTCCAAATACGAGACAAAAACTGAGAAGATACTGTTTTGCGACCTTGATGCAGATGACGCTATGTATCTAGCGTCTCTCGACCCTCTTTGCACTGGTATTGGTGCGTGTCTGCCCAAACAGAAGAAACATCGAGAAAAGATGGTGGGTGGCGGACGAGTGACGGCCTGCAGGTAAGCTCGGCCGCGCGGGTCAAGCACCGCTACTACTGGAGAAACGGGTTGCAAAAGAGACGCTGGACTAGCACCCTCGTGACGTGCATGGCCCGACTCTCGAGGCAAAAAGCGCGCGGTTTGGCTTGACCGTCGTTTGAGAACAATGGAGATTGGAGACGCCTTTGTTTGCGCTAGCCTCTAGGGTAGAGAGGACAACAGAAAAAAAAAAAAATCCTAAAAAAAAATCGGCACATTGCATCTCACCACCATCGGATGTGACGAATCGCCGCCGACGGTTATCTTTGCCCGCCCATTGGCGATGCTAGCTCACGAGATGGTTCTTGAATCTTGACCGGTCCGTTGCCAAAATGGAGTCCGCTGAGCTCCGGCCAAGAGGGTGTGTCTAGAATTATCTCGACCACCCTCTTTTTTTGGCAGTTTGTACTGAGCAGAAGTAACTATGCAAAAGAACATTTGGATGGAAATGATGGATCCGGTGATGTATCATATGGAGATACTTCCCAAAGCCTATCCGAAATTACCTGCGAGGTAAATAATTGGAGATTTTCTGAAGGATCGCTGGGCACACACTTTTAAAGTTTCCTGCGGTCGGCGACGCACATGTTATTGGGCATGTTTCTTGGCCTTGTTCCCGACTTGGGCGGAGGGAAGTTCCAGCGCCAGCCATTTTCTTGAAACTCTTATGGGAAGGATGAGCGCTTTCCAGTCCGGTCCGGCAATGAGGTTGTGCATCCCCGTAAGAAGAAAATCTCATCTTGATTTCCCCAAACCTGCACCGCACCAGCCTCCCACCTCCCACGGCGCCTCGTCGATCTATACAAGTATTTTCACTCGCTCGGGGAAGTGGGTGCGATGGTGTCGGTGTCATGGAACCGTCGGAGCACTGGCACTGTCTTGTCTTGGAGTTGGAGTCAAGGACCCGTGTCCAGAACTCTAACGTACCCGCATCCAGTCCTACGGACTACAACACTAGTTTACGACAGGCAGCTGTCGTACTCACGTAACCGTACTCAGAGTCTCAGACTCTCAGTCGACGAAGCCGCCTCTTGATGCCGTTCGTCGCACCCTCGTACACGTATTATTCTAACACTGCGATTGGTGGGCCGTGCGTGGGAGCTGCGCCCAGTCAAGTTGTACATTGTGCACAAAGTTATGTCATTGGCAGGAATAGTGAAACCGTATGCACCATCCTTCACAATTTATCCAACACGAGATTCCAAAAACTGGCTACTAATCTGATTCCAGTTCGAAAATGGGTTTATTCTTAGAAATTGATACCCACATCGCTGCCACACCTTATCACAACTCATCCACCCGCCCGTACGATGCGTAAATTCTCCTTCCGAAGCATATGAAAAGTTGCAAAGTTGCGTCGTGGATGACGGCGGTGCCCGTTGTTTTTAATTTCCTGAACCCAGGTTTTTCTCGTTTCGCCGTTCCGATTTCACCCCAGAAATCTCATTAATCTCATGTGATATAGGTCGTCTGTCGCATGAACAGAAAAATCGTCTCTGCTAGGAAATCCCAGCCGCGTGCGTTAATGCCTTGGGCAGATCGTCTGGCCAAGTGTGCCAATGGAGCGACGGATTTTCTGCCGTTTCGCACATCTCGGAGCTTTTCTTGGTTCTGGCATGGAGGGAGGGCATGGCATTCGAATAACCTGGCAAGGGATGATCGACCTGAGTGAAAGTAAAAGAACCAAAAAATCAAGCCCTACAAGCGATGTCCAACAACTTGAACCAGAAAAAGTCACTATCACTCCGTATGTGTGACCGATTGACGATACTGGTCAGTGGCGGCGGCTGTTTACCCATGATGGGTGATGAAGGGAACCAGTTGTGATTCCTGGACCCCAAGTCTGCTTCGTACCTTACATCTTCAAACTGTATTATCCTACTCCTGCGCCTCTGACTGGTCGACACGGAGTGTGCGACGTGATGAAGCGGAGCGAATGGGCTGTGTTGGGGGCCAGCTCTCCAGGGTTGGTATCCGACTCTGTCAGTATAATTCGCCCAAACCGGCACCGAGTCTGAAGGAGGTGTTCAATATCACGACAATATCGCCTTTTACTGTGCAATGTGAGCGGATGGTGCGTCATCGTATCGCCTCTGTCCCCCCCCCTCCAACTTGCGATGAGCATTTACACCACGTCTGTACGAAGTATTATCGTGTTGGGCTTATTATGAAGTAGTAAAAGTACTATTATCTCTACCTCAAATTCTCAATCTGAGACGGCATGGCATAAGTAGCGTATTACAGGATTAATGTAACCAACCCACTTTGACCCATGAAATGAGCATAAAACATTTTGTGCGAGTCGTAAATGTGTCCACGCACGTCTCTCCTGGTTGGCGTGAAAAGAAACGGATTCTGCTAGCGTTGATTGGAGACGTGTACTAGTTTATGCAGCATGTGCGCGCAGTGACTGAGCTCAAGGACTGAGAGATGCATCCCGCGTTGACCTTCGAACCATCCCATGGAATGTGAAGAGACTGATTGCTCAGCCCGCGGCGCGTAGATGGGCATGCTCAGGACTCAGGAGAATGAACTTTGAGAGAACATTGGGTTGGGTCAGCGACACAACTTATCCAATGGGATGCATAGCGTCTGGCAATAGTTGGCCAACGGATGCGCACAAGGTGCATATCGCCTGCGGTTTAGTGCCACAACTTACACCCACCGTCTGAGGCCTCTTGCCATTGTTACGAAGTAGTCCAAGCCAGTTGTAGCGGAGGGCACAGTGTCTGTGTCCCTTCTAGAGTCGACAGACCATTCCACTAATGCACTAATTGATCGGTCTGACCACTGCAAGGTCCAGCCTGTAGTTTCTCTCTAATAGGTGCCTCGACTTCAGCTCTGTGCAAAGGGAGGGAGAGTAAGGGAAAGGAAGGCAGGAGACGGAGAAAGCGCGTGCATCGGCGAGTACGAGAGTACCCAAAAATCGGACTATGTACTCAGTATGCAGCCGTACTTTTCGCACTATGGAACTCTCGATTTAGAACATTGGTGGCTGCGCCCCTCCCTCATCCCAATACGGGTGGCCCGTTATGCCATCGAGAAAAGGTTAAGAGTTGCTTGTTCCTTGGACAAAGTACTTCGTACCTGGTGGCCTGAGAAGTACTTCGTACCGAGTAGTAGTCTAGAAATCAACGATGCCCCCTCTGGGAGTGTCTGTGTTTTCCACCCCCCGGTCCACACCAACCCATCTGATGTACCCTATGTATCTTGTAATCTTGTATCTTCCCAAGTCCTTCGTTGACGACAAGGTTACCCACTCCTCGTACGAAAAGTGTGTACCTCTTTCTCTCTTGGTAGCCGCAGGGCCCGGCTCGCGCCAGGGGGTGGGCTTTCCTTGGGTCTGCGCCGTCGCCCGTATCGTCCTTTCCCAAGCACCCCCCTGCTCTTCAGGCCACCCCCCCTTGTACGTGAAGGTACCCTTGTCCTTTACAGAAAAAAAGGTGGAGGAGCGAGACAGGCCAGTGGAGAGAGTGTGAGTGGGTAGTAGCTTGATAACTTGGGTCGAGCGTGGGCGAGTGGAAAAGCCTGGGCTCCTAGTCCAGATGGTGTCTTGGCTATAAGCTTGACATTCCCGGTCTCCTCCAGATTGTCCTCGACCTCAAGCTGCTTCATGAAACTACATATCTTGAAGGGTCCCCCTCACCCATCGTCACTCTTTTCTGTCCCCTTCTATCATACTGATCGGCGGTCTTGTCGACTCTAACGCAACTTGTGATTATAATTCTTCTTCGTGATATATCTTCTTCTACGGTGACTCGGTTCACAACTTTCTTGGAATCCTCAGAGAACCTCTTGAGCTTTCCTGTCCTTCCTTTTCTTTATATCGATCAATCTTGCACGAGCCCAGCTCTCTTGTCAAGTATAGTCTCGATCAAGAGGCAACGGTCTATGTATGACAGCGCAACTCGAGTCTCTCAATAAGACAGACAACCTGCTCGCAGTGTCTGCCGTCCACTCCTTCCACGAGAAACCGACCACCATCTTTCGGCCATCCGCCCCCAGCTTCATGCGATTTGCGAACTACGAACTCTACGACGACTGTATACTATACATTACCACTCCATATACTTAATCGATAAAGACAAACTCACACAACGTGCAGACGGTACTGGTAGGTTGCAATCAACGTACACACTTATACACGAACACGAATCTATAAGAGAGATGCAACAAGTGGGAAGCGAAAGAGTTCATGGCTGACGACACCTCGCTGGCGGGAAAACAGACTTAGACGCAATGGATGCCACCATGATGACTGCCCAGGCCATGGGACAAGCGTCCTACTTCTACAACCAAGATGCCCGGAGGCAACACGGATACTTCCAGCCACATCTTGCCATGCAACAACAACAGATGATCTTCCCCGCCGTGCCAACACTACCTTCGACGCCCATGTACTCGAGGCCTGGCTCCGCCTGCTCGCAACCCCAGGGCCCTACTCTGTACAGCAACGCGCCCGCGAACATGGTGACACCTATGGCCTCTCCCCAGCCTCTCGCACACAAGCCCGCCATCATGGTCGAGACTGAGATTAGGGATAATGACATGTACTACCCGGCGACGCCTCCTCTGTCAACCTCCGGCAGCGTTGTTGGTAGCCCCAGCAGCGTTGATATGCTTCAGACGCCTATGAACCCCATGTTCTCTGGGCTCGATGGCGTCGATGGTCTGAAGGATGCTTTCGAGCCCACAAACACATTTGTTGTTGACTGGGCGAACGTTGCTTCCCCCCCCTTGACACCTGGTAAGTGAATAGTGCGAGCCTGTTAATATTTCGCCTTATTTTTTCTTTCCATTCACTTGCCTTGCCATTTGCAACGTTCTCGGTCAATCTTATCTCGGCCTGTCCAGATGAAGATGGAATTATGATGTGGGTCGCAGATTGGGCCTGTGTTAGTGCACTTTTGGGACCTGAAGAGGAGTCGGCCCTTGATGCCCGCCCGAGCCTTATGTTTGGGACATGGGCATGGCACCTGCTGGTTGGTGGCCCAGGCACGCTGGCCGCCCTTGGGTTCTCTTCCCTCTGTCCCCCCTTCCACCCTTGCCCATTTAGGGTACCCCCCAGTCACTTCCAGCCTGGCGCAAATTATAGGGAAATTGAGTGCTAACGCAAAATGACCAGTATTCCTCCCTCAGTCACAATCAACTGAACAATCTCTCATCACATCTACCAACCCTGCCAACCTCATCTCCTCTGTTTCCGCCTGCCCCTCTCTCTCCCCTTCACCCTCACCCTACGCGCGGTCCGTGTCTTCGGAGCAAGACGTCGATTTCTGTGATCCGCGAAATCTCACTGTCACCGCCAATTCGGGCCTTCCCGCCGACTTCTCGGGGTTGAAGGAGGAGGACGTTCCTTCTGAGCAGGGTTCCCCGGCGAGCTCTTCCGCCATCTCCCAGGCTACCTTTGACTTCAGCACTGCACTCCCCGACACGCTCAGCACTTTCGGTGATCTTTCCGACCTTGAAGCTGAGACGGACCTATCTGGTCTTCTCGACATTGAGCAAGTGTCCACTGCCGTCAGTGAATGTGGGCGCCCTAGGGCTTGCACCGGCTCCAGCGTGGTCTCTTTCGGCCACGGCAGCTTTATCGGCGAGGAGCTCACTTTCAACCACAGCGAGACATTCCCCTTCCCGGCGCTTCACAACACCGTGGACTCGTCCGCGCTCGACAGCGACTCTCACAGGGACAAGCGTGTCAAGAAATCGGACACCCCCTGTGTCCAGAAGGACGCCTGCAAGATGCCCACGGCCAACGCCGTCGCCTCCGCCGGTCAACCCAGCACGGTAGAGCAGGACTCTACTTCTACCAGCGCGCAGTCCACCGGATCTTCCTCAACCAAGACCTCATCCTCTGGCGTCCAGACCCCCGTTGCCAACCCCGCTCCCGCCAACAGGCGTGGACGCAAGCAGTCTCTGACGGAAGACCCCAGCAAGACCTTCGTCTGCGATCTCTGCAACCGCCGGTTCCGCCGACAGGAGCACCTCAAGAGGCACTACCGATCTCTTCATACTCAGGAGAAGCCCTTCGAGTGCAATGAGTGCGGCAAGAAGTTCTCCCGCAGCGACAACCTCGCTCAACACGCACGCACACACGGCAGCGGTGCCATCGTGATGGACCTCATTGAGGACCACGAGGCCCACTTGTACAACACAGCGCTCATCGGAGAAAGCTTCAACTCGATGGGCAAGGTGCTCTTCCAAGTTGCTGCAGAGATGCCCGGAAGCGCCAGCGCCACCGACATGTCATCGGAAGATGAGACTCTCAGCAAGAAGAAGAGGAAGCGATCTGACTGAGTATGCATATAACTTGTCAGCCAAGGAACGCTCGACAACCCAACGACAACATGCCTATCATGACTTGATGACTTTTGATTTTTGCAATTAACGAACCATGATGGGGATTAGTCGAATCGGTCAGGTCCAGTTTCTAGAACGGGGCGATACTCCTAGCATGGGACTGGACAAGACAAACCCAAAGCTAAACAGGAGCCGCCGTCGTGAAGATGGCAGTGGCGGTTCGTGGGAACACACTACACCAATGCTGCCGTCTTCTTTACACGCTTCACTTCTTGTACACCACTTTTTTTTTTTTTTTCCTTTTCATTATTTTTATTACCCAGCATAGAGACTTCCTTTTTTATTTTACTGGCCATGATCGATCAATCACGGCGACCTAGCGTTGCCTTGATGAAGTCACCCTTAAACAGCAACCTCAAAAAATTGGACCGGAGCATGGCCTTGGACACAGAAGGAAGAGTGAAACATTGGGATTGCAAAGGCTGTTGCGTGGCGTGAAAGGGGAATGGATTTTTGATTTTGATTATTGATTTTGTTTTTTTCTTTTTTTTTTAAACATGTTACGTTCCCAGACATAAAAGAGACTCGGGCAAGGCAAGGCGATCAGTTTGAATTTTTGCACACAACTTGGGTCTCTCCCCCAAGCAAAACCCTTTTTTTGGTGGCGGATAGTTTTTCATTTGGTGCGTTACAATGGCACTTGTGTTCTCTCAAGGGCCTATTTCTTCTTCAAAGTGGTCGACTCGACACTTGCGCTCGATGTACTCTAGTTAGCAAAGCGAGAAGCTGGTTTACTTGCCCAAAATGCTATACAAATCCGAGTACCAATTTTATCACCTTCGTCTCAACTCTTGACTCAGTCTCCATCTTCACTGCTGTGATGAGATATCTCCTTGCGTCTTAGCATGGATGGGAATGCCCCGATCCTCTACCCTCGTATGCGAAGACCAAATACTTGACAGCATTAAGGACGATTATTTCTCGAGTCGAGGTACTTTACGGGCTGACGGGCAGGCTATCGGATGGCGATGGCGATTCTGATGATGAATCACGACCCGGACTAGACGCTGTACCCGAGGAGACGGAGGCGAGATTATCGCCGTTGAAACGGCTTACTCGTTGCCCTTTTCGAACACTGTAAAAACTGTTGCACCCGATGCAAGTCATGACCAAAGCCAGCGCGTGTCTGCCTCGTCGACTGAAATAAGAAATGATCCTGCCGACATGACCGGTGATTGCATTTCAGATTAGGCAGGTCCGCAATGCTGAAGGAAGGAGGGGTACGCGGCGCGCCCCATCACGGTTTGTAACCTCCACTAAAGTTTGACGTTCACGTCCTCTCTCTCCTCTATGCGGGAAAGTCAAGAAACGCTTGAAGTCAGACCCACTAAGACAACGAAGAAAACATCCCTCCAATACCGGGGTTCAACGACGACACCACAGACACGCCTCCCCTCCGAATCGTGCAGTCACCCTTCGGGCAGCTTTCAATGTCAATCGACCCGAGTTCTCGGTAAATGAAGGTCTCAAACTTTATGATGAGATTGGACAACTTTTGAGAGGAGCAAAAGTCCATTCACGAAAACTACACTTGATCTCATATTTTTCCCGCCTTCTTCTCCTCACGCCCCCTCCATCTCTTTCTACCGGTCGCTGAATCACGCAAGCATTAAAGAAGAAAGAAGAGGGGCATACAGAAAAGTTTTCAAGAAGAAAAGCAATCGAGACGGGGCTTGCGGAGGTCGTTTTGAACAAATCAAAGCTGCGGGCTGGCGTCTTTCCCACATGCGCCCTTTTCTGTCATCTTCTAAGGGAGGGGAACTTACTCATTTACACGCCGGTGAATGGTTAGGCGTAACAAAGGTAAGGAAAAGGGAGCCCTAAAACGCGATCGAGAAGAAAGAAACGCAAAGAACGCGGCGCGGCCCGTCCGAGAATAAGCAAGCAAGACAAGGGAAGAAAAAAACGCGGAAAGAGAGGGGCTGAGAGGCTGCCTAGTTTCCCCTCTGACACAAGCAGGAGGAGAAGGGAAAAAGAAACAAAGAGTAAAAAGGAGAGAAAGGGTTCACAAGAGGGAGGGGCGCGCCCTGCTGCGACTGAATCATGTCTGCCCAACCGCTCCACGTCATTGCCCTCATATCGGGGGGTAAGGACAGCTTTTTCTCCCTGGCCCACTGTTTGAGGAATGGACATCGTGTCGTTGCGTTGGCGAACCTGTACCCACCCAATAGTGGTGGTGGTGGCGGAGGCGAACGGGCGCAAAGAGCGGTTCCCGCGGACAAAGGGATCGAGGCTCGATCGGAGCTAGAGGAGGGGCCGCAGGTCGAAGTGATCGAGCCGAATGGCGAAAGCGACCAGTTGCAGAAGAAGGAAGTTGATGAGGACGATGGTGTGGAGGAGAGCGATCTCAATAGTTTTATGTACCAGACCGTTGGGCACCAGATCATCCCGCTTTACGCCCAGGCGACCGGGCTACCTCTGTACCGCCGCGTCATTACGGGTGGCGCCGCTCAGAAGGTGAGAGATTACGATGGCGGTGGTGCGGGAAGCGGCAGAGATGAGGGGGAGGAGACCGAGTCGATGACGGAGCTGCTGAAGGCTGTGATGAAGAAGCATCCCGATGCCAACGCCGTCTGCGCCGGTGCAATCCTGTCAACGTATCAGCGGACGCGCGTCGAGTCCGTGGCCACCCGGCTCGGACTTGTCCCGCTCGCCTATTTATGGAAGTACCCAATTCTGCCGCCGCCGAAAGCAGACGACGGAGGTGCGTCGGCCGAGGCGGATGACGCGCAGCTCCTGCTCGACATGGCCGTGGCCGGGCTCGACGCTCGCATCGTCAAGGTCGCCAGCGCGGGGCTCGACGAGAACTTTTTGTGGACGACGATTAGCGGGTTGCAGGGCATCGCGAGGGCGCGGCGGGCTTTGAGGCATTTTGACGAGGGCGGCGGTGGTGCCATATTAGGGGAAGGGGGAGAGTTTGAGACGATTGTTGTAGATGGGCCAGCGGAGCTGTTCAAGGGTAGGATCGTGATTGAAGAAGATGGGAAGAAAGTTATGAGGGAGGGGGGTGGGTGCTCATGGTTGAGGTTCACGGAGGCGAGGGTGGAAGCCAAGGATAGAGAGGACTTGTCTCGGCGGTCCGAGATCCGCGTGCCTGAGCCTCTGGATGAAAAGTTTGCTGTGATTCTAGACAGGATCCAGCAGGAGGGTGGGCTCGAGACATTCCCGGAGCCAGTTCATGCAGAGGCGAGCTTGGAGAAGTTGACGCTGAGGACTACTACAAAGGGCTCGTTGTCAAGCAGTGATGCGCAGACAGATGAAGAAATTCACTGGGGCTGCATAGGTGAGCCCGAAGCGTGCGCCTCCTCAATCGAGGAGGAGACCTCATCTATCGTGGAGAGAATACGGAATCACCTGGGGCCGGATTCAACGACTCGATGTATCACGAACACGCTCATCGTCCTGCGGCACATGTCCGACTTTCCAGCGATAAACAAGGTCTACGGGACGCTCTTCCCCTTTCCGAACCCGCCGTCGAGAGTTACAATCTCTTGCGGTAACCTACTTCCCGCCGGGCACAACATAGCTGTGTACATTACTTATCGACCGGGGCTCGCACTCCAGCAGCGCAATGGCCTACACGTTCAATCTCGCTCGTACTGGGCACCAGCCAACATTGGCCCATATAGTCAGGCCATTGATGTCCCTGTCTCATGTACAGTACCCCCGAGCACCAAAAACAGTGGCCAAGGAGCGACGTCATCATCACCTGCCAGTAAACTAAGACTGGTCGCTATCGCGGGCCAGATACCACTCATCCCGGCAACGATGGAGCTTCCCGAGCCATCGGATAAGTCACTGAATCTACAGGTGATCTTATCACTTCAGCATCTCTGGAGGATTGGCGTGGAGATGCAGGTCCAGCTCTGGACTAGTGCCGTCGCCTACTTCCCCCGGACAGAGAGCCGGGATGGCATGTTGCGCAAAGCGAGGCTGGCAGCGAACGCATGGCGGGATGCCCATGTCGGCCCGAAAGGCGAGGGCGAAGGCGACGATAACGACAGCGACGAGGGCGGGCCCGATCTCTGGGATAGGAAATATAACCCCGAATACATGACCTTTGGTGATAAGCAGGCTGGGCCGAAGCAACTGCCCGACTGGGACGTGTTCGAATCGGGGCCGGATGGCGAGCCGATCGCGCGGAAACAGGCACTATTGCCGCCCTTTTTCGCCGCCGAGGTTGAGGAGTTGCCGCGGCAGGCCGATATAGAGTGGCACGCGCACGCCGGACTATCTGGAGTCGAAAACGGCTCGGTCCAAGTCGGGCGGTATACAGGAATCTATGAAGCCCAGCAAGAGATGCGAATCCCATGGCGCGCGAACCACGTATTAGTCGAGGCCAGCGAGGGCCATACTTTCCTTCATACCACCATCTCGATCAGCCAGTGCGAAAGCGTGACGTCCGCCACGCGCGCCCTCGACGACATCCACGAGGATTCGCTGAGGGCTGGCGGTCTTGGCGGCGATGAGAACGGTTCCGGGGCCCGGACGAGGCGGTTGGGGGCGTATCTTGTCTATGGCGCAATAGGGCCGACGGATGTCGAGACGTGGGGTGGTGATGGCAATATTTCCTCGGGCTTGCTGGTGCCATTCGTGCCATGTAGGTCTATATGGGATGAGGGGGGTGAAGCGATAACTTTGGTTGCACTGTTCCGGGATAATTACTGTTAACACCGGGCTTTCAATGCGAATTGATGGCCTTCCGGGGGCGGGATCTCACGATATTGCGGGATGTTGGTTGCCTGTCCTGTCTAAAAAAGTGTCTTGCTTTTTCCATAGGGCAGGCAATGCGACCCCATGGCAGCTGAGACCGAACAAAGACAAAGGCCGGCACAGATGGACCCTTGAACTCTACGGTAGATGACCGATGAGGGAACCGGGCCGAAGAAACGGCCCGTGGACGATTATTATTATTATGTGTCTTTTACCCTTTTTACATGGTCGGCTGAGTTATTGCTGTGGGCACTTTTACGTATGATTGTGTAAGAACCAACACGATGTTGCATGAGGCAAAATGTGAGATGCAGCAGCATGAATTTCAAGAGCGCTTCAGGCTTGGTACTGGTCGACTGTCCCACCCCACGTTTACATTCATATTGGCATTCATATCCAACGGTCACCCCAAGAAGCGTCGAGGACTAGGACGACCGGACGGGGCGGGCATGTTCTCGAGAACTGATGCAGGCAGTCGGTATTGTTCGAAATGGGAGGGGGGCGTGAACGGTAGTATATGAAGTTTCTTCATTCCGAAGAGGTGTCCTCATGAACATCAACATTTGATCGTCAAGGTTCACTAATCGTTTATTCCATGTGCCGCTTGTGAAATAAACTACGACGAAAGTATGATAGATCATCATCGCCTTAGAGTATAGGACAGGTCACATACCTTGCAACACTTTAATATGGGGCCCATTCAAGGTAATGGTTGACATGGGCAGGAAACAAGAGGAAAGGATCAATTGCCTTGATGCAGTTGACCTGTATGATTTGATTTGTCTTTGCGGGGAACATGGGAAAGCCAGGGTCGTTTTCATTTGGCGAATGATGGGGATGTAGGCTCTTGCTTCCGGTTCGTTTCGTTTGTGGTATAAATGTATGAGCGTATGCGGCTTTGTGCCAGGTGATCGAAACAAGCCTTCTTACTCGGTAATAAATTCACATCGGAGTTCGGTTCGACGGGGATGGAAATGGGGAAATGGAAAATGAGAGGGATAGACCTCTTGTTTTCTCTTCAAACCCGTCGTCTCATTTTGCGCAGTATGAGGGATCGTGTGAAGTTGTGTGAAGTAGTCAAGCTCTTGTGACAAAATTGGAGCCCTTTCCCCAGAGGTGATCGCGGCTACGAGTTAAAGATTTAGAGATTCCTGTCGCTTTTGGTGGCTCGAGATGATGATATGGCGAGACGTTGAGTGGGGGAAGGCACGAGCAGGGCACAATACTTCGTACAGTTTACCACTCTACCGATGCAATTGATGACCGTTGAGGTTTCCTCTCGTGGGGAGTACTCTCAATGTCTCTTGGCAATGACGCTACTTCGTGCACTCCAGGAAGGACGCTGGAGTTGACTTTCCCGCTTCGCGATCACGATGACCGGTCATCCCCTCCCATCTCCAGATACTTACAAGTACGAAGTACTTTTTCTTTACTACTACTACGAAGTAGTTTGCCCGAAAGAAAAAGAAACGGGCAGTGATACAAGTAGATTGTTGGCTCCATGCTCTGTTCCCTTGCAAATCAAATCAATCACGAAACGACCAGGGCTTGATGATGACCCAGGCAGCCCATCTGCAAGGACCGTTGATGCCATTAACGCCATGGATGACATTGACCTCGGAGGGTGGCCAGTGAGAAAGACACACTTCGTAGACGGAGGCTTGAAGCTGACGATAGGAAATGAGGAGACAGACGTACTTCGTACTTGCATTCATCTTCACATGGAAATGGAGGCCGGTTGACGTTCAATTCATCCATCAATCTTTCGATTGGACCAAATCGATAGATCTAATCCTGGTAGATCTGCTTCGGGATTGGTTCAGTCTTGGCCGCGCCTACACCCAGCAGCGGAGGCACACCGAAACTGCGAAGAACAAAGCAGGACTTGTCATTGATGAGGAGGGACAGGGCCCGTCCACCATGAGTAACTGTAAAGGTGAGGTAGACTACCGAGGTACTTTTGAAGTTCAAAGTGTGGTGCAGTGCAACCAGGCCAGAGCCTGTGCTGCACGCTAGCCAGCGTAGTGGAGTGTAGTGTAGGGCGAACAAGACAACAGCAGGAGCCTCGAGCCCCAATTTCGAGGTGCAGATCGCGCCAACCCCGCTATAATTTAGTGCTGCATCGACCTCGACTCTGCACAGGCTATGCACCCTGTTCTCGACGCTTGACGCACTGCACCAGCTGATGCGTCATCCAGGCTATCCTGGCGTCAGAACACTGAACACCAGTGAAGCGAGCACCAGGCATTTGATTCCTTGATTGATGGATGCGGATATGCAATCAGATCCAATCTATCAGATCTTGAAATGTTCAAGGTCGACGATCCTTTGTATGTATACGTACAACATGAGTGGACTTTACTCTTTTTGCGACTCAGCTTCGACCAGTCACAGGCGAGAAACGATTTCCTATCTTTAGTGCCATCGAGATCGAACCAATCCAAGACGGAACTAAAACTTGGTAGTTCGAGGACGACCAACTTCACATTGACATCACGTCACCTCGTTTTTCGCTTCACTCGTTTTTTCCCTCTCTTTTTGAGCCTTCGCTTGTAGCTGCATCAGCAAGGCTTCCTTCTGATGCCCGCGGGTGGAAAGTCCACGCGGCTCGATTCGAGGCCCGACATTGATTGATACGAAGCACGGAACGAGGTAATAAATCGGGTTTGTTAGATAGACAACGACCGCGAACCCCCACCAACCAACTTGAAGCGTTGCCTTTTTGCACTAGCGAGCATCAATTGATTGATACTGATACCCATTGTCACTCGCTTTCGCATTTCGCATAATTCCTGATACATCCATTGTCTTCTGCGAACGCCATCACCGGCACAACTGTCGTCGACAACGCCAAGGCCAGATAGCCACGGCATCACATCGTGCCAGCCTCAGCCTCCTAGCCGGCCGTCGCTCTTCTCACGATCCCTTCGCGATGTCACCCGGGCGGGGATCTGCCCCATATGCGGCCTCGTTAAGGTCAACAACGACACCTGCTCCAGATTATTTTGCCGTCCGCCGCACGGCGAGTGTCCCAGGCCGGCCAAGATCTAGGCTGACGAGACAAACGACCCAGGAACGGATCGATGAGATCCTAGAGGTATGCCATGCTGCCATGCCGCCACTGCCATCCAACTCCGATGCACCCTCCCCTGCTCTGTACCCTCTCCTCTCCACCCCCCCGCTACCTTAAAGGTCTTCGCCCATGCTTTTCTGCCGCTGCCGAGCTTTAATAAAAAACCCGAAATGGAAAGGGGAGAAGAAGAGAGGAAAAAAAAATCGCCAGACCCGTCCCGGTCCGGCCTTGTCCTTGGCTCTTCCTTAAGACCCCTGCTTGCACCAGACTTTGATCCTCCCATCCGCCTACCCTCTCTCATTATTTCCGTTTTCTCCATTCTAAATATCTGCATATATATATATATATATACGCACTCGTGCCCGGTCCCAAGTCCATTTTATAACAGGGCGTGTTCTCACACAAGTAAAAAGGCCAAGTTCATAGCCGCTAACTTTCGCTACTACCTTCCCACTGCTATAGGGTGCACTCCGAAGAGCAGAGGAGGCAGACGCCATCGCCAGCAGTCAATCCCCCCACGACCACCCCATGCCTAGGTCGTCGAGCGCGAACCCACCCCTGCTTGACCGCACTCGCCGATCGTCGGCTGGAGCCAATCGTGCCCATGATCATGACGAGAGTAGCGCCGATGAGACTACCGGAATCGTTTCCCGTGGAGACAACCTGAGCTACCAATCTACTCTGACGACGGAGAGCAACGGAGCAAGATTGACCGCCACGGGGAGACGCTCCGAATCTTCGCGACAGAATGGTAATGGTGCTACTGCTGGGATCGACGACAACGAGAGTGCCCGCCAACTCGAGCCTAAGCCTAGAGGTGTGCCTTGGTTTAGGGCAGCCATTGAGCCGTTCAAGGCACTCGAGCTAGAGAACAAGGGAAGTGTGGCTAGGGACCACCTCGCGATAGGTATGTATGGATTTATTTTCCGAATGAACTTCAGATGCACCCAGCTCCGAAAAGAGAAACGGGGACGGAGAGAGAGTGTGTGAGTGTGTGTGACTAGGCTACCCAAGCCACTTTCACTATACAACCTCTGAGGACGGCACTGCACTGCGCACGTGTGAGATTGGGATTGCCAACGTCGGAGTTCTGGGGGAGTGGGGGCGGGCTTTCCATTTCTGACGACCTTCCATTGCTGACGTCTACTTCGATCGACAGAGCGAACCTTCCTTGCCTGGCTGCGAACCTCGTTGGCTTTTGCCTCAATTGGCATCGCCGTAACCCAGCTCTTCCGCCTCAACACGTCCCTTCCGGACACCGACGGACACCTCGGTTCAGCGACCCTACGACAGCTCGGCAAGCCCTTGGGAGCCACTTTCCTCGCCATTAGCATCGTTATTCTGTTCCTAGGCTACCACCGCTACTCCGAGAGCCAGAGATGGGTCATTGAGGGCAAGTTCCCGGCCAGCCGCGGAACCATCATCCTCGTCACCTTTCTGGCGTTTGCGCTGGCCGTGGTTTCTCTGGTTGTCGTGATAATCGTGCATCCCACGGAGGTGGAGCTGTAACAACAATCGTGTGTATATATATACTCATTTTCGGGTATCTAATTTGGTCGTGTATCATATTATCTCAAGCGATTTTCGTGTCTACATAGACATAGGTGATGAGCGGTATCTAAGACTGCTCCTGGCTGTTGCGGGCATGTGAAGAGGGCGTCGGCGTGATTTATCCGTTTTCTTTTCTCCTCTCATATCAGTTTGGGTTATCTCTACGATTGCATAGATGGCGATGCCAACGGGGATATTAAATCAAGGCGAAGCGTCGAGACTATCTCGGATCAATGGCATTTTCACCGTCATAGTACGGAGTACTAGGCTAGGCAAACAAATACGTATGACATCGAAATGGGAAACCTAGCGATGGACTCGAGTGGCATCATGGTGAAATATGTATTGTTCTTCGTCTGGTGATGTTAACGCGCCGGGCCGTTGGGGGAGATTTGAGCGTTGTGGATCTTGTCGGTGAGGCTCCAAATGCAATGATTATTATCTCATCGCCATTTTGCTTTTGGGCGAACCGCACGCTCAAGTCCATCTCCACGGTTACTTTCACACAACATTTGAACAGAGCCTCATACCTTTCCACTTCATCCCGTCCCTCAACGACTCCTCTCATAAAGCAATCTCTCATAATTTTTTTTAAAAAAAAAAATAATAGAAAATAAAATAAAATAAGAAGAAGAAAAGGGCCAAGGAATTAATAACAAGCTACAGCAGACGAGACCCCCGCCTTCTGAAAATGCCCCCCAAACTCTCCATCCCAACCTTTGCAAAAACCCAACTCGCCCTCCTCCGAAAAGAACAAGACATCGAAATCGCCGAATCGACCTCTCTCATATCCTCGCACACACCCACGGCCCTTCAACGAGCTGGCGCGGCCATCACGAACCTCGTCGTCACCTCCCAGCGTACGGGGCTAGGCGGCAAGACGGTGCTGGAGCTCGGTCCCGATGGGGCCATCGGAGATGAGATGCCGGAGCATGGGATCCGGACGGGGGACGTGGTGCTTGTGGCGGGGCAGGCGGCGGGGGATGCTAAGAAGAGGGAGGTGAGGGAGTTGGAGAGGAAGGGGGTTAGGGGCGTTGTGGTTAGGGTTGGGAAGGGGGCTGTTTGGGTTGCGGGGGATGATGGGGAGGGTAGTGGGAGCGTCGAGGAGAGGGGGTTGACGGGGAGGGTTTGGGTTGTTAAGTTGGCTGATGATGTTACGTTTCGGAGGTGAGTTTATCCCTCTGAGCTGAGTTTGGTGTGTGGTATGGATCAGGAGAAGGCGTGAGATGAGGGGCCGTTCATGAAGACGGGCTCTGATGAGAAGGGGTAGTCATGGCAGTTGACCGGAGGGGGCGAAGCGGAGACTAATCTCCTTTCTAGGATGAGCCAGACCATGGAAAAACTTGAAAAGATGGACGAGTCTCAGTACACGAGCTTCATGCGTGTGCTATTCGGCCTATCGAGCCCGACACCCGTCCCAAGCGATCCCGAGTCCGACCCAGCTGTTGGCAAAATCGAGTGGCTCGATCCGACCCTGAATGGCTCCCAAAAGGATGCCATCAGATTCGCCCTAGCCTCGCGGGAGATTGCTCTTATACATGGGCCACCGGGAGTAAGTTTTTTGCAATCCTTCTCCCTCCCTTTCTCCCACTCTCACTCTCACCCTCCCACGCACTCACACACACACTCTCTCTTTTTCCGTCCTCCCCAAGCCTAATTAAGCTGAACTAACACACCACTATAGACGGGCAAAACCCACACTCTCATTGAACTCATCCTCCAACTCATAAAACGCAACCAACGCATCCTCGTCTGCGGCCCCTCCAACATCTCCGTCGACAACATCGTCGAGCGCCTCTCCCCCCACAAGATCCCCATCCTTCGCCTCGGCCACCCCGCGCGCCTCCTCCCCTCCGTCCTCAACCATTCCCTTGACGTGCTCACCCGCACCTCCGAGGCCGGCGCCATCGTCAACGACGTCCGCGCCGAGATGGATGCCAAGCAAGCCTCCATACGCAAGACAAAGAGCGGGAGGGAGAGGAAAGCAATTTACGGCGATCTGAAGGAGCTGAGGAAGGAGTATCGACAGAGGGAGAAGAAGTGCGTGACGGATTTGGTGAGGGGGAGTAAGGTTGTGTTGGCGACTTTGCATGGTGCGGGCGGGTTCCAGTTGAGGGATGAGAGGTTTGATGTGGTGATTATTGATGAGGCGAGTCAGGCTCTTGAGGCGCAGTGTTGGGTGCCGCTGTTGTCGACGAAGAAGGCCGTTTGTGCGGGTGATCACCTTCAGCTTCCGCCGACGATCAAGTCTCTTAATAGCAAAGTGAAGCAAAGAGAGTCCACTGGCAACGGCGGCGACGAGGAGGTCATCGCCACAGGCATCACTCTTGAGACGACGCTCTTCGACCGGCTACTCGCGCTCCACGGCACGGCTATCAAGCGCATGCTCACGACGCAGTACAGAATGCACGACAAGATCATGAGGTTCCCTTCCGACGAGCTGTACGAGTCTAAGCTGGTTGCAGCCGACGCCGTCAAGGATAAGCTCCTCACGGACTTGCCTTACGATGTCGAAGAGAACGAAAACACGTCGGAGCCGCTCATCTTCATTGACACCCAGGGCGGAGACTTCCCCGAGAAGAACGAGGATGAGGATGAGGCGCTGAAGAAGGGAAAGTTTGGCGGCCTCTATGGTGAGAGTAAGAGCAATGAGATGGAGGCGTTGCTGGTGAGACAGCACGTCAGGGAGCTGGTCGACTCTGGAGTCAAACCTGAGGATATCGCCGTCGTGACTCCCTATAACGCTCAGGTATGTGTGAATATCCCCCTTCGCGGCACGACTCGACTTGCTCCATCCCATCCCAGGAGAGATATGATCCATCACCTGTTATTTCCCTTTTCTTTCCTCTCATCTTCTTCTCGGATCATCTTGGGGTGTTTGCTCCATTCTGATACACTTTCAGCTAGGGCTTCTAGCACCCCTAAAGGAGCGATACCCCGGCATCGAGCTCGGCAGCGTAGACGGATTCCAAGGCCGTGAGAAGGCGGCTGTGGTTGTGAGTCTTGTCCGGAGCAACACCCAAGGCGAAGTGGGCTTCCTGGGCGAGAAGAGGAGACTCAATGGTACGTAACATGCCGCAACAAGGCACAATACCTTGTAGATTCGAGGAGATACTTTTCTTCCACCTCCATTTTTTTTCCCCCGAATGTTTGCTCACCTATATCGCAAGTGGCCATGACCCGACCGAAGCATTCCCTAACAGTAATCGGCGATTCTGAGACGGTAAAAAGGTAAGTCTCTTTGGTGAATATATTCTCTGGCCGCTCTTCTTATCCCAATGTCACCCTCTCTTACATATGATCCTCGATGTCGTTGCACTTCGTTTCGCAAACAAGCGCCGACGACTTGGTGAATCCCATATCGCTTTGTCGCCTCGCAACATTTTGTTTTAGCCTCGTCGAGGTTTCTAGGGTCATGCCTGTTTGCTTTTGATGTGACGACGAGAGAAAAGAGAACCGAGGCTCGCCCAAAACCCAATCCCACTCCAAACCCGCCTTCCCACTCCCAGGCACTGGGAAAAAAAAAAGCACAGATGCTGACCCTTGCGCACACCCAAACATACCGATGGCCCGGGATATCTGGACCCTGCACCGCTCCCGTCCTCGGTTCCTGATTTTTCTAACTTTGCGTGTATTATAGGGGCAGCAAGTTTCTCAAAAGGTGGATGGACTTCCTCGAGGACAACGCCGACCTCAGATATCCCGACATTTCCGCTTTGCCGCGGGACATCTAACGTACCATCCGTCCATTTGAGGATTCCATATACCAACGAGGTGACGCCCGCAACTGAAACCCTTTTTGATGTGGGGTTTCGAGGGGAGCGGCCACAATCTCATACAATACGGAAAGAGGGATCGTTCCAGAGCCCGTCCCGCTACGGCACAGTCCGTAGTAGATTAGATGGGATAGCCCGCTTGTTCGAGGCGTAGATCTGACCTGTTATTCCGCCTTTCCAGTCAATGCCTTCTCCTGCGCCTTGCAAAAGACGAAGGGATCTTCCCAGAAAACATCGGCCTATGAATTGTGGATGGGTTATGCCATACCCGCGTAATGCAGGCGAGGGTTCTCGTCCCAGGTTTCTTTCCACTCATTCTAGTCCTCCCCTGCACCCGCTAGAGCCGGTAAAATCGACAGACATCTAGAAACTCATTGATCTGTACTGGCAAACGTACCATCGAGAAATCTCATTAGTTATCATTACGAATCAGAAAGCAGTAGCGTGTTTCGCGAGGTGCAAGCTCAGAAACATTAGTTCGGTTATCAGGGACCCCTAGTAGATCTCGCACACCAGGTAAATATAGCGAATGCTACGAATGAGACCACGAGCGACCAGTTTTCTTTCCTCGTATCATGAAAATGAAAATACAAGTGAAAAAAATGTGATCAAGCGGAGCTTAAACCCGGCCGGGCACTTTTCAAGTTTCAGGTGTCAGGTCCAATGCTACCGACACATCGGAGCTTACTTTTGTACTGAAGTGCAGGATGTAGTAGTATTTTCATCTTCCTCGTACCTGGGTGGCTGGGCGTTGGGACTGTGCCATCCTTGCCATGCTAGGGTTGCACCAAGGTCTTGCGCAACACGCGACGCCATGACCGGAGTGTTCCCCGAGTGACCCTTGGTCGCGTAACGGCGACGAGCGTGGGGTAGGCCCGAGGTGGACCTATCGAAGCTTCTGTCTGAATCGAGAAGACTTCTTCGAATCTACTTCGTATCATCGACGAGTGAAGTGCGTTAATTAGGGCGTTTTGTGCGCAGGTTCACCATTCATCAGGTGCCTGGGATGATATGCACTTTATCATGCAGGAGAGTAGGATGTGTTGCGGGTGCTCCGAAGGCTGATGAGCAATGGATGGAGCAGTTTCCCCCCTTTGCAATGCGTGGAACTCGGTGTACTTGAGTGGCAGGCGATTCCATATCAAATCGTTACACCCGGGGAAATAAAATGCTGTACAAGACGTGAGACTTTAAGCAGGGGGCATCACTGGATTCGATCGTCAGGATTGGTTCCTCCAAGTCACTTGAACACCACATCTACATCTGCATGCATATGCTCGCGCATCAAGGCCCAATCGTATTGCTCGAGCCGTTGTTTTGGTTTCTGCTTAAAGAGGTGTCCATCGCGATCCAGCCCGTGTTGATACAATAAGAGCGAAGAAAATGAATGAGATTTACGTGTCAAGAGGAGGAAAGTGCCATTGGCTTGGTAAAGCGCGAAATTGAGTTGTAGTGCATGCATGTCGAAACTGTCCATAGAGAAGATGAGGAGTCGGGTGTTCGGCGTTGAGCTGTTCGTCCACTCCGGACTCTGATAAAGCCAAGGCGGCGGATGGCTTCGTGGCCAACGGATCGCCAACCTACCTCAGTCTTTGCGGCTGATCGACCCAGACTTTCGTCTTAGTGGGACAAGTCTATCGAAGCATAGAAGAGTGCTTGCATTAAAGCTCTCCATCCGTATGACTTCCCCCACTGGTTATAGGCCCTGAGATATCCTGTGGGATCAATGCTGCAGTCGGGGATGCCGAATATGCGTCGACGAGCCTTCAGCGAGCTTCTGAAGAGATGAACGAGACCTAGATTCTGCGCCGTTTTTGTCTGACAGTATGTGTTACTGGCGAGGCACTTGCCAAACACAGGACCGCCTGATTCTGTAGTTGTACGCGAGAGGTAAAGTTGGGAGTAAAGTCAACAAATAAACACTGATCGCGCCGTGATGATGCCCTGCATCCTGGCATTGGAGATATGCAGGTGAGGTTCCATGGCGTGGGTAGCCGCCAGCCTGGTCGCTTCGAAAGCCTAGTTTCTTGTCACGATGCTGAGGGAAGACGTTATTTTTATGTCGTGGCGTGTTAGTTGGGGGGGGCTTGTCTTGCATGTTCCTGGAGTCTCGCTGCACTTGCTTCAGCTGCGTCCGGATCTACCAACGAAAGAAGGACATCTGGATCTGTCGTCCGCATTTGACGTTGGGGCAGTGAAGGATACAAAAGGGGGCGAATAAGCCTCGGTTTCTATAGGGGTCCACCGAAGACAGATCAATTGCGGCTTTGGGGTCTAATTGGATAGATAACACCGAGCGTCCCTTGGAATAGTAGTCGTCATCGAGGAGCGGAAGCTGTGGAGGATGGCTGGCCCTCCTCGGCAGCATTCATGCGAAGCTGGGACTCTCAGGACCGTTTGTCGGCCAATCAGTCTGTGGTGAGTTATTTATGTCCACCGAGAGTTCAAGAACTTGCATGCACTCTGGCGATGAGGCTGGTCTGGCCAAATCAAGATCAACATGACGGTCTGGACGTGAGACGCGTGCGGGGTATGAGGGAACAGCCTGGTGGAAGGAGAAAACTGGTACTGGTGTTCGTCCGAGTACTTCGTACTTCGCACCAGACAGTGGGCAAGTGCAGCGGACAATTGAATGGGCAAGGGCAAATGCGAAGTCGGGCCCACCCCACGTAACCCACCAGTTGTTCCCTCCCAAAAACGCCACCTCGATCTCGCCGGTTATTTTTCCCATCCGAATTCCCCATCGAGGAAAGTCTGGTCGTTCCCGAGGAAAGAAAAGAACCAATATCCTTGACAAGCTGACAAGATTGATGATTGTGCATGGTTCGGGCAATGGCTTTCAATTTTTAGCTGAACTAAAAAGCCGCCTTGTCTCTAGCCTGGCTAGTAAATCAAATGCGACCGTATCAAGATTCTGTGCCCAGTGGAGACCGCGCCTCCAAGCCAGGAGGTTCGGATTCGATGGATCCTTCCAAGTACTTCGCACATCAATTGAAGAGAGAAGGCTGCGATGGCACCAGGTATTTAAGTAGATAGGAGATTGTAGATGATATTACCGACACCTGCTTTTTCTGTCTGTCCCGCCAGCGCCCGCACACGCGTGGCATCGTTCTTTCTTCATTCCAGGAATACTGGCACATGCCTGGATCTTGCCCTGTGGTTCTGGGTAGCTGTACCCCCCTGCCCTGTGCTACAAGTACAAAATCACTGGGAAAGTCTGTTGAGTCTCTAGATACTTGGCCTGTACATGGCTGGCCTTGTGCATGAAACGGGCGTTTGAGCATCTGCTGGTGGTGGAGAAGCCGGCGGTGCGCTGCCACAGGCCCTTAGTCGATCAACATCTTGACACTCTTTCAGTGTGACCAGTGGAGTTGAGAATGGACTGCCTGAGCATTGAATTGATAGTATCAAGCAGGTGGACCACTGCCGGGCTTGTCCAAAATAGCTCGTGGCCCTCCGAGGGATGAAGTAAAAGCCTTGGCTTGGTTCGGTGTAGGAGGCAGTTAATTTGGCGAACAATGCGTGCTGAAGTTAATGTCGGCTTCGTCGGTGGCTTGCACTAGGCGCAGTGTTGTCCCCACACTCTACACCCCTTTCATCCTAGCCCTTCCTCAGGGATTGGGGATTGGAGACCGGGCTCGTGGATCAGTCTTGGCCTGCGTGTCGAGGCGTATTCTTCCCCTCCTTTAGGAAGTTCGAAGACGAGACACTGATTTTACCCAAACACAGCATGCATTTTGATGGCAGCGGTGTCCCTAGTACGAAGTAGAACGATTGGCGAGAAATAATTGTAACACAATTGACGTACTTCGTACTCCTAGCGGTTATTAATTTACGAAGACATTTTTCCAGTTCCTATTTCCCCCTGATGGTTGGCGGAGGGAGTTGCAACCACACTCTAGACTCCGCAGTAATGCGCAGACACTGAAATACGGGTAAGCCTGCATCACCAGAGAGACAGCATATAGGTATGTATATAAGACGTGGCAGAGGCCTGATGCGGTGTTTATCCGACCAGGAGGAAACCGTTGGTTCGATTCTCGACACTACTGCTGGCTGCAAAGCGAAGGTCTTGGAACATTCAATGTTCCTTTGTAAGACAAGAAAGCCGTTTTAGACTTGACTCCTAGTTGGGGCAGACCTGCCCTGTCTTCGCGGACGTCGAAATTGAGTGATGGTGGAATGTTACCCGATTTAGCTGGCCTATAATACCGGGCCATAAGCTTCCACGATGCACCTCTCTGCGCCATGATACAAGAAAAGAAAATTCAATCCTTATTTTACATCTTATACCATCCTGGAGCCTGTCTCGGGCCATCTGGCCCCATGTGACGGGTAGCGGAGCCAAAAGAATGGGGAATGCCAATGGATATACTAGCGATATCCCTACCCGGACTATGGCTGAGGATGGTACTGACGGGATTATACTTGTTGTCGTCCGAATTATATTGTTCCTTTCTTTTTTTGACCACAAGCCTACGGTCCCCATCGTCATTAGTCTTGGCAGCTAGTGGGTTCTTCTCTTTTAGCTGAATACCGGATCGAAGGCGATCCGCTTCTGATGCTTCACATCCTTTCCGCATTGGAAACGGAGGTAGCAGGTGGCTGTTGGCTGGTGCACCCAGAATAGGTCTTTGAAGACGGTCGCAACAGAGTTTTATGAATGTATGACCCATTCGTGACATTGTAATATCAACTTACTTTACGGACTTTGTCGCCACTTCAATGTTCCCATCCCGAATCAGCCACAGATCACCGGCTGTCTCAAGCGCATCTCCGGTAGCCCACTTCTCACGGAAATCTGTCGTCTGGACTGTCGTTATCCACCAGCATCCAAGCGGATATTTCCTACGTCCTTCGTAGTGTTCCATTTCAGAGCGAGGGTTAACAAACCGCAGGGTGTTCGCATGGGCTATGCAATAACAGACCTCGCAGCCCATACCGAGTTGAACCCTTTT